GGGCCAAAACAGGCCGGGCTGGCCCGTTTTGCCATCCCTATCACTGACGTCGCCGCACCGCACCCGTAGCATCATCGTGCCTCTCAAATATTTTTGTGATTTTTTTTATTTATATTTTTTCGATTAAAAACCTCTTATTCCCTATCATTTTAGTGCCTCATCCATGAGACATATTTTGTACTACTTCATGTTAGAATCCATCTGAAGCCTGCATAGGACCAAGTGATGGATGCATGAAGTCATGTAGTGAATTGTCAGATGAATGTGACTTTGAAAATCGTGTCAAAAATTTAAAAATGGCATGTTCACTATGTCTATGTGGGTTGGATATGGCACGATACTTTGTTAAGTGATGTAGAGCATGATTGATTTTACGTTAAGATATTTCAAAATAGACTTTCACACATTCTGATGGTCTAAATGACAATACAATTATACCTATAGATTAGAAAAAATGTGAGTTACATTCAACCTAACGTTTTTCCAAACACACACTTAAACATCATTGTCATTGTAACCATTTAAATTTGTCAAGTGTTATAAATATGTCTCATATATTTAAATTAAAAGTTTGATTATATAAAAAGAAGATTGAGTATGTATATATATGCTTAGTTGCTTGCAATCCTAAATTTTCAAATGGTTGTATCCAATTGGTGTGTAAAGTGGTCCAATATTTACAAATAGTAAAAAATTTAATAACACTTTTATGGTTATGATACCGTTGATGTTATTTTTCAATTAAAATTGAAAATTTATCTTTGTATTATATATTTGTATTTAATATAAATTTTATTAATACACATTTATGTATATTATTAAGATAAAATTTTAATTTTAATTGAAAAATAACATCAATCATATCTAAAAAATCATACAGAAATGTTATCATTTCAAATATACTAAAATATAAATCATTTTTTAAACTTTCCTAAATTGTTGTATTCAACAAATTTCTTATAATTTAGACATTTTAATAAAATATTGGGGTTGGATGCATGTGAGAAAAAGATGGGAGTAAGAGCAAATTGTTTCCAACTCATGATGAGTTGAGGGATTAGGTTGAGTCAGTCTATCAATTCATTAAAAAAATTATAAATTATTTTTTATTTGATATCTTTAAAATTTCCTTCAAATTTTATGATCAAGTATAATAAAAGAAATTACTATAAAACTAGTAAAGATTCAAATGTTTAATAAAGACTTATACTAAATAAGTCCATCAACAATTGTAAAACAAATTCACTCACAATATTAAAATAAACATTCAATACATTTACAAATAAATATTAATAAATAAATGATTCATGAATAAAACATCATAAGTCATATTTATATATTTTTAATTAATTAATAATATAATGAATCATGAATTAAACTCGTATTACGTTACTTATTTAGTTTATAATATATATAGACGAAGAGTGAAATTAAAAAGATAAAAATAAACAGGAGAAATATAAAATAAAATATTATTTAGATGAATAAGCATAAAAAATAGAGATATTTTGTTTATTTGGGTGCTAACGTGCTAAAAGGTAAATTATATAAATTATTTTATTCTAAACATAAAATTAAATTAGGTTAAAATCTAAATATTTTATCATATTAATTTTCTTAATATAAATTATTTTAAAATAAGAAATTTCAATTCTGTAATCATTTTAAAAAAATAAACAACAACCTTTTGCTATTTCATAAAGAGAAATGATTGCTTGGAAATGAGGGAGGGACGAAAGAATGAATAGAAGAAACAAAAACATATTTTTCAAAAAAATAAATAAATAAAATCCCTTCCATTAACACATAAAAATGAGAAAGGAAAGAGAAAAAACTTTCGCCCATCTAAAATTACTATTATATCATTTAAAAATAAGAATAGAAACGAGAATGATAAGATTTGAAATATTTAGAACTCATCCTTTTATCTATATTTAAAAATAATATTTAGACTCGTTCTTACATTTACATGAACAATAATTTCAATTTATAATTATTAGATATCTATATCCAATTTCACGACCCGCACTTTATTTATATATAATTATTACATAATCACGACTCATGAAGAAAATAAGATTAGAATTAAAAATTTTCTATACTATTAGAGACTTGTAGTATTAATTTTAAAATTTTAAAAAAATTATAATTAATTTTCATATATATATATATATATACACACATATATAATATAAGTAATATATATAATTTATTTAATTATATTAATATATAATAGGTGCAAGAAGAGGTGGGTACTATAGTATCCAAACCCAAATCCATACCTACACAATTTTATAGATATACATCCATCCATACCTTTATAAAATTTGAGTATATTTTGTGATCCCTACCTACAAACAAATTTACTATATCTTGTGTTTTATTATAATTATTTGTCTTTTAAAAAATATGCTTTTATCTTTTTTTCATTATTTCATTTTTTTTCTCTTCTACTAAATATTTAAACAATTAATTCATTTTCTACTTAATTTATTCTTTTTATCACTTTCTTTTCTTTCATAAACCGACAAACACATTAATGCCGAGTTAGGACTTAAGAGTGAAAACAGGTTGCCTCTACATGTTTTTTATAAGACAAATTTTGTTTGAAAAACAGTTAAAAATACTAATTATATATTAAATTGGAACATTTCTTTATAAAATTTGTTGTGAGACTGAGAAGTGAGAAGTGCAGGTTGAGTTGACATAACGAAAGGGTAGATCCGACACACGGATCGCTGTAACATCGGTGCACTGTCCCAAACACCAAACGACGTCGTCTCTGGTTACGATGTTGCTGTTAGCTCAGCTTCCCAAATCTCAACCAACGAAACCTACATTTCTTTATTAAATAATAATATAATATTGTACTACAGTAGTATAGTAGCAGTGAGAAAATGAGTACGCTTTTGTATGCCTATGGAGGAATACCAGTGTGACTTAAACTCTCTGAACCATGTCGCAGCCTTCAATGGTGAGTGAGTCTTACCTCTTTTACCTTCCATTTTGTCAACTGTTTTTAGAATATAAAAAAAAAAGATCATTTCTGTGTCGTATTGTATATAATCATAGATGCGGATCCTGCATTTTTCTAGACTCTTGTGGGAAAGAAGTTAATGGAACAAAATGGGGGCTTTATATTTGAATTAGGTCTATTATTTATTGTATGGTAACACGCTGAGCAGAAAATTATGTTATTCTCGAGTGTTGTTTGATTTTTGCTATGCTGAACTTAAAGAGTTAAGAAGTAATAACTGTAACTCAAATGCTGGTAGCCTTTACTTGACTTGACTTGACTTTAACCTTTTTGAAACAATTAAGTTTACTCAACTAAATAGCTCTACGGTTACAGATTGATAAAACCGTCGAATTGGTGTTGAAATTATAGTCACTAGTCATTTTAGTCCTTGAAATTATGAAAAAGAATTTTAGTCATTGAAACTAGCAACTGTTAGTCATTTTAGTTCCTAATGTTGAGGATCTGTTAATTTGATCTCATATTTTGACAACTATAATCATTTTGGTGCTTGACTTTGGTTCACGTCAGTTAATTTAATCCTTAACTTTGTTGTGCATCAATTAATTTAGTTCGTAATGTCAGGGACCAAATTGACAATGGTTATCACATACATGAACTAAATTGATTATGTAATGTTAGGGACCAAATGGACTGGTGGAACCAATTTTAGGAGCTAAATTTTGATTGACTAAATTGACTCGAGTTATAATTTCAAGGAATAATTATATAATACTTGCTAAAGTTAATTTTTGTTGGAAAAAATGGAAGTTGGTTGTCAAAGGCTCAAAGCATTTCAATTAAGATTCAATAATTTGAACTCTATTCACTTTGATTTTTTTTCTATTTTGTAAAGTGAAAACTACGTTGCAAAGTCAAGTACTCATGCTCGTAATTCATTTTTAGTATTTCAACTGGTTACTCTATTGTTCATCAGCTCATATACTATGTCTTATTATGGTATGGGACTATGGGAGTCCCCTATGTCTGGTGTTAAAAACCTAGATATGCTCCTTCCCCCATTATCTGTTGCAAAAAGGCTTAAAACAAGTGCTAATGATAGTTCAGCACAATAATTGGATCTTCTCAACAGACTAGATCATGTCAGTTGTACTCTTTCAATTAACTACCATTCTTTGTTTATTCAATTGGTGGTGCAATTGTTGTTATTCATTTTGTATTGAAATTTATTTGACTTATGTGCTTGCAGAAACGGCTACATTTAACTCAAGGTTTACTGAAAATGAAGAAGTGGTATGGAGGCCTGTTGATAATGGCTCTGGGTATGATGTTGTTTTTCCTCTACAACCTCAAAGGAATTCAGCCAGAGAAGCAGTCAGCAAAACAGTCAGCATACAGTTTCTTCAATAACCATACACTACTGGATGATTATATTAACGGAAACAGCAATCCTCCAGTAAACTCTTCCAAGGTGGAAATAAAAAGGGTACTAACACCAACAAAAAGGCCATTTTTGGTACATGTTGCAGGGCTTGATGATCTGTATGACATGAAAAAATTATCTAAAGGAGAGATGAATGCTGTCCTTATTTGGGATTCCTTGCGTTCCCTGTTGTCAAGGTCAGATGCTTTGGCTGAAACAGCTCAAGGAGTTAAAGAGGCTTCTGTGGCATGGAAAGAATTGCTATCCACTGTTGAACAGCACCAAACATCTAAGATGGATGGCCCAGAAAATCAAAACTGCCCATTCTCTGTGACCACAACTGGTAAGGCTGTACCAGATAGAGGAATCTCTCTTGATCTCCCTTGTGGTCTGGTTGTAGATTCTTCTATTACACTGATTGGAATCCCTAATGGACAAAACAGAAGCTTCCAGATTGACCTTGCCGGGCAGGAGCTAGAAGGGGAGCCAAATCCTCCAATTATTTTGCATTATAATGTGAGTCTTCCTGGAGAAAACATAACAGAGGAGCCGTATATTGTTCAAAATACATGGACTAGTGATTTAGGGTGGGGAAAAGAGGAAACGTGTCCTGCTCGTGCTTCTGCCAATATTCAGAAAGGTATATTTAGTAAAAATTTCATTTATATCAAGAGGTTTTCATTGTTTAAATTGATGATCAGTTATAGACATTTGTGAGACTGTAATCATATAATAATGACAGAAAAACTCTTATTTTGTGTTATTATGCTCTCTTTATTATTCTCGAGTGCAGTTGTTAGAGTGTGGCTTGCTGCAACTTCTAAATTATCTAACTGTTTGTTGTAGTTGATGGACTTGTTCCCTGCAATGTACAAGCTGTCAGAAGTAACAACGAAGGGAATGTAAATGTCAGTCAACCTGCTAGTGATATACCTTCTAATATTTCCTCAGAAAGTGCACATAGAACTGCGAATTTCCCCTTTGCTGAGGGTAATCCTTTCACTTCCACATTGTGGGTTGGTTTAGAGGGCTTTCATATGACTGTCAATGGAAGGCATGAAACATCTTTTGCATACAGGGAGGTATGGTATGGGAAGAGAAATACTGCTAAAAACAAAACTTTTTTAAAATAGGAATAGTCATTTTAACCTTGTACAGTTTTTGTGGATGCAGAAGCTTGAACCATGGTTAGTCAGCAGTATTAAGGTAGCAGGCAGTTTAAGTCTCTTATCAATCCTAGCTAAAGGTTTACCTGTTACTGAAGATAATGATATAGTTGTCGATGTTGAGAATCTGAAGGCTCCTTCTATCTCCAGAAAAAGGCTTGTTTTGTTGATTGGAGTATTCTCTACCGGAAACAACTTTGAGCGTCGCATGGCTTTGAGGAGGTCTTGGATGCAATATGAGGCTGTACGTTCTGGAGAAGTTGCTGTCCGATTTTTCATTGGGCTTGTAAGTGATGCATTTCCGACTTGATTAAGTGAAACTATGCATTAGTATAATTCTTGTTCTAGTTTATGCACAATTTCTGCCTCAAAGAATTTTATTATAGCTTTAATTCTGCTTTCCTGGTTATTTATTCGCATCTCTTTGCTTGAAAGAAATATAGATGAAGTTGGCTGGTATATAAATGAATTTGATGAAGTTTAATTTCTGAATTTACAGTCCATCATGGTTATATGTATAATCAGTCAATTGTTCTCTAAGTCAAGCTCTTGGCATCATTTTATAGGTCTAGTTAAATCGATTTTTAAAATAGTCTAGTACAACGGAGGACATCTTTCTTCAACTTTTCTTCTCCCTCTAAGGTAGGTGGATTGGTGGAGGGGATGTTATAGGTGTTTTTTGAACTTGTTTGAGAAGACATATTCATCAAGAAGAGAGGGATATATCTTTGTTGTTTTTATCGGGTTATTTCACACACATCTCTACATTGGTTTAGAAATTGTCTGTTTTGGGGTTAAACCCTCATAGTTTTGCTTTTGATCTCACTTAAAAGGCATCTTTCTTCAACTTTTCTTCTCCCTCTAAGGTAGGTGGATTGGTGGGGGGATGTTATGGGTGTTTTTTGAACTTGTTTGAGAAGAAATATTTATCAAGAAGAGAGGGATATATCTTTGTTGTTTTTGTCGGATTATTTCACACACATCTCTACTTGGTTTAGAAATTGTCTATTTTGGGGTTAAATCCTCACAGTTTTGCTTTTGATCATAATCCCAACCAATGGAGTATGTATATGCTTTATAAACTATTGTTTCCCCTCTTGTTCTATCGATGTAGGATTTTGTCTGTATCCTAACAAGGGACTAGAGTGCTAGTGCCATATTAATTAAGAAATATGCTCAAGAAGTTACATTATGTGGAATGAGATATGAAGTGGTTGGGATTTTAATTGCAATACTTGAGCTGAAGTTGGATTCATTATTAAAATGAGTCATATAATTTATTTCACCAATTTCTGTATTGTGAACTCCACCAAACATTCTGCACCATAGCAGTTTCTTTTTTTTTTTATTATTATTATTTTTTTAAATTTCCTCTTTTATCAAAAATTGATGGGTGACATTTTATTTTATTTGATTGCAGCACAAGAACAGTAGGGTTAATTTTGAGTTATGGACTGAAGCTCAAGCATATGGAGATATTCAATTAATGCCTTTCGTAGATTATTATAGTTTGATTTCTTTGAAGACAATTGCGATTTGCATTATGGGGGTAAGTCGACTAAGATGTTATGCTAAGAATATACTGGGATTGCTATTGTTTATTTGCTAGTCAAATTTTTGGGTCAACTGCTTACAGTCTAGGATATAATGGCATAAAGTTCTATTAGTCTTTTGTAGCAACCAATATTTTAAAATATATCACTATAAAGAAATAAAAAAAATAATAATAAAAAAAGTAGCAAAACATGGAAATAGTTTTCATATCATAATATGATTGAAAATTTTGATCTGCATAAGTTGTGGTTCTACGTTGGTCTTACTGTTCTATTCCCTTATTGTGACTTGATTTCAGTAAAAGAGAAATTTTACTTTCAATTCTGGATAATATTAATGAGGAGAAAGAAAATCCGGTAGCACTTTTTTTATGGTTGCTGTTAGAAAATATCTTAGACATGTGTACACATCATATATGTACATTCAGTTGAAGCTCTAACTTAAGAGCTTTTTTAGATTTAATTATTCCAGTAATGTTGATTGTAATTAATACCACATTAATAACTTAATATCAATACTGTGCGGTCTTATTAGATACACATAGTTGGGACCAATGATCAACTTCTCATTTCAGTCGTGTTGAAGCAGTTGCATCTCATATGATGCCACTATAGATGCATACTTTTGCATGAATTTCACAGCTGTGCCTTACATATGTGCTTTAGAAGAAATATACGTTGCGACCTAATCTATATATGGAACAGTATGGACACTGATTTGGTCTCAAAAATGCTATGTTGCCTTTATTATTGTTGTTGAAATTACAAGGTTTTGGCATAGACCGTAGAAGGAAGAAAAGGAGTGCTCACAATAAAATCATATTGATATTCTTGTGAAGAATGTGATACAAAATACAGAGCACTTTTCCTATTTATATCAATAGTAAACTTGTAGCCCTATTTCAACCAGGAAAATAATCACAAAATGTAATGAAACACTGAAACCACTCCTAAGGATGGTACTACGGTATTGCTCTTATGTACTATGTTAAAGTTATAGGGCTTAGGTATGAAGGAGGAATAGGAATACTATGATAGATTTGATGTCGTTTTAAAAATTGGATTTGAGTCTAACTCTATCCTTAAAGTTAGCTCAAAGGGTGAAGTTTGTCCCTCACTCGTGTACACTTTCCAGGAACTACTTCTAGTCAAAGTGAGACTTGAGTTTTTCTTAATATTTATTTAATCAGTAAGTTGGTTGTAACTAGTTTAATTTTTCAAGACCAAAATATACAAAAATGTTTATGTATTTATCTATTCAAATATAGCATTTAAAATGGTGGTGGTACTGGGTTCTCTCTCTTCATTTGGCCTTTACTCTCTACGAGTTACTTAATAAGCTATTATTTATTAAAATTGCAGACAAAAATCATTCCTTCTAAATACATCATGAAAACAGATGATGATGCCTTTGTTAGGATTGATGAGGTACTTTCTGGTCTTAAAGGAAAGCCATCTGAAGGCCTCTTGTACGGTCTCATATCTTCTAAATCATCTCCTCAGAGAGACGAAGACAGCAAGTGGTACATCAGTGAGGAGGTATTAATTGATACCTGTATATTGCTATTACATTAGCATCCCCCCTTCAAAATTTATTTTGTTATTAATTATTATTATTATTTTAGGAATGGCCATATGATACATACCCACCATGGGCACATGGTCCTGGCTATATTATTTCTCGAGACATAGCAAAATTCGTTGTTCATGGCCACCAAGAAAGAAAACTCAAGGTAAGAATTTATTTACCATTATGGGATCGGGGATAAAAAAACTTTGCTTATTTTAGAATCTTTTGGATAATTCAAGGATATGCTTCTTAAGTTTATTTTTTTTCTTGTGTGTATCAAAGGTGTTAAGTGGTTGTACATCCTATACTGGATTATTGGGGTCGGTAATAGAACCCCACGCTTGTATCAACAATTTCAATGGGACTTCTGTAAAATCAATTGGAAATTAAATAGGCATAATAAACTAGTACTATTATCATAAACTAGAGGCAGATGTATTTGTAAAAAGGCCATTGCATTATTCCTATGTTCACCCTGCTATGTATGTCTTCATTGAATACAAAATAGAACTGTTTTTTTTATATTATTTTTTTCAATTTCTTTTAGTGTAAGATCAGCTTTATTTGACTGCCTTTTTTTAATTGCTTAGCTCTTTAAATTAGAAGATGTTGCCATGGGCATATGGATTGAACAGTTCAAGAATGGTGGTAAAGAAGTGCATTATGTGAATGATGAGAGGTTTTACAATGCTGGATGTGAATCAAATTATGTACTTGCCCATTATCAAAGCCCAAGGATGGTGCTATGCCTTTGGGAGAAATTGCAGAAAGAACATCAGCCAGTATGCTGTGAGTAGATATCCATGTTTTAGTTGTAACACTGATGATTACGAGGTTTGAGAACTTTTAAATGTTTAGGTTCTATGTTAGTTATCACTAATCATCTTACACGTATTTTGTATCATATTGTTCATTGATTTATTCATTCATTATTATCTTTTCAGTAGAATGAAATAGTTTAATGCTTAAAATTGTTTTGCTTGAAAATACCTATAATATATTTTCTGCTAGCTTTTGGTGCCCTTCTGTTGCTGAACAATGAACATTGAAATTCTTGATCACTCAAAAAATAAGATAAAAACTGTGTTTTTCTAAATTGTAGGGTAATTGATGTTTTAGGTCCCTCAAAAGTGTTACGAATTTTCCTCAGTCTCCCATTTTTATGAAGTTGTAATTTAGTCTTGTGATTTTTTTCCCATATCCCATGCAGCCCCTTTGTTTGTCCTACAAGTGTTGTTTTTTGTTTACTTTCTGGTCCCTCTCTAAATACCGCTACTTTTCTACTTGGTCCTTCTAAATGACACAAGTTTATCATTCGGTGCATAAGTACATGACGGATGAAACAAATGGAAGCCTAACAGAGGGAATACATATATAGGAACGGGGGAAAAAATAGGACCAAGTAAAATTGCTGGAGGACCAAATAAGAAAATTTTAATATTTTAAGGAACTTAAAACATAATTTAGCCTAACTTTTATAACACAAAATACTAATCCATCCTAGGCAGAAATATGCCAGCAGAAACACATTTTTCGTTTGTTGTATACTTAAAACAATAGCCAAATGCAGAAGTGGAGTTGCTGAATTTCAATGAGACAGTCTATTTGATGTTTCAATCCCAGTTCACATATATTTATGCTTCTACCATCAATGAGGTTGTTTTTTTTCCATAGTTTTAAAAACCGGACCGGTCATCGAATTGGTTAAGGTACTTGGTCAATGAGTCAAAGATTGAACTGGTGGGACACTAGTTGAACCGCATGACTCGATTTTTATTTATTTTTATTAAAAGATATTCATATTAAATATATTTTATACTTATAAATTTTAATAAATTCATATCTTATTTTAAATTTTAATTTTTCTATCTTATTTAAAATTATTTTTATTTTTATTTTGTAAAAAAATACATAAAAAAATTACATGTTAAACGGTATATTAATACAAATTAAAAATATAAATAATATGTACATATATAATATGCTTGCAATTGATATCACAAAATAATATATGTAATATCTACATAGATATTATATTATTAAATATATAATTTAAAATTAATAATATACTATAAAAGTTATTTAAGTTGTATATATTACAAACAAATACATTAGAACAAGTAGTCATTATTATATTTAATAAAACTCTTTGCTCTTTCATTAAGAGATTCAATTTTCATTATTGTTTTTGTGGTTTATGGTCCCTTAAATTTTTTTTTAAAAAAAATAAGAAAAAAAAGTGGTTGAACCGGAAAATTGACCAGTTCAATCCGGTTTGAAACGGGTCGACTGCATAACCGATCTAACTTAAGATTCAGACCGGCTGGACCACCGGTTCCCGGTTCGACAGAACGGTTCGATCTGGGTTTTAAATGACTGGTTTTTCCAGTTAGCTATTTGGACAATATATATAATTGTACTACATTATGGATTATAATGCTTCTGTAGCATGTTCAAATGCTACTATATTATTCATCAAAGATATGTAGAGTTTGTTTGAATATAAATTTAGAAAAACTTATAAAGGTTATTTTATTGAAAATAAAGAAAAATTCTCGAAAACATTTTTAATTTGCATTTAAACTGATTATTAATGTATGTTAAAATGCACTTTGCCGCAAAATAAAGGTTAATTATATATTTTGCACCCTTTAGATTGTATCAAATTGAGTTTTACAAGGTGAGGCTTAGTTAGCAAATCAAGCTATGTAAGCAAATTATGGGCAATATAGTGTATGTTTGGGAGCTTATTTGTGCCAATGCAAATGGGATTTCACGCTTTTCCCAAACATGCATGTAAGAGTTAAAACAACTCCTTATTAATTTGTTGTTTAACATGTACCAAGAATTTATAAAGGGTAGCATTCACCGGGGTTATTGTTTTTACTCTGGACCAGAAGATCATGTATTCCTTCACCTTAAATTTCTGTGTGTATATATATATTATTTATTTTAATGGGATCTCAAAAGAACAGAAGAGGGTGCTTAGAAGGTAACTCCAAGCTGCCTGTGGCCAAATCGTGTGGCCTCGAATTAAAGAAAGTGTAGATGTTTATTTATAAAAAAAGAAAAGAAAAGTTGAGGGACATGTTTAGGCTTTTAACAGTTGGTAATTAGTGGGTAGAGTGAGTAGCAAAATGGTACGCAACCAGATAATGACTAAGCGTAGCACTGAAGGAAAGATATTTTATGGATAATAATAATATAGAATTAGAGAAGGATTAATGAAATGGAACCAGATAATGACTAAGTGTAGCACTTTTCTAAAGGCTGGACTTTTTGAGCAACCATTACCATGCATTGAATTTGAACGGTGTTGGAAAACGGGAAGCAATTCCTTGTCCTTGGATTAGTCAATTCAATACGTATAGAATAGAATTTGGAATTCGTTTATGATAAGTCCAACATATTTGCGCTTCTTTCCACAATTCTGTGGGTGCAAGGGCTTTTGGATAAACTCCAAAAACTCATTGAATAAGAAGATAGAAAAAAGATAAAATTAATTTACAATTAACTTATACACTAATTATCAGAGTAAAAATTTTGTTATCAATATTCGTTTTATTATCTTTTTAATCGAAGTATTTACTGACTTTTTCAATGACTCAATCCTAAAATCTTATTTATGGAGACTTGAATGACAAATGATTTGTTAGTATAATAATTTTGTTATGTTCAAAAAATATTGTCTCAAATAAAAGTTATTTCTTATATAGATTTTATAAGAAAAAAATTTTAAAAATGATTTTATACTAATTTGTTAAAATTTATTTTTATACATGTATAATTTAATTTTTAAATCATGGAGAAATTTATTTCTATAATATTTTTTATATCCTGAATCAATTAAAATTATGTTTATTTTATATATTTTAAAGATAATTATTATAAAAAAAATAAACAAAATTATACGATTTATAATTAAATAAAAGTATAAAATTTCTTTAAACCGTCCCTACATGTTTTATTGGACACTTTTAATCGAGTTTTTTGCGCACACTAATTTCGATTTATTCTTCTGACGTGTCATAAAAACTATTTAAGTATTTTATACAAAGATTTTTTTTATTAAGCGATGACGTATTAATAAATTTCCTTTCACTTATTTTAAAAGAACCTTTTTCTGAATTAAATTTAATCAATAAGTAAACAGGAAACAACTAATACTTGGTATGAATTTGAGTGAGAAAAGCATTATAAATTTAAGAAATGTCAATATTAGATGAAGTTCATATGAAATGATTAAATGATACTTATTCAATGGGTCTTATTTTCCATTTAAAGCACACCACATAAAATTAAGTATCATACAATATAATAATGATTGGAATATTTTATAAGCATTGATAACCGTAGCCACTACTACTTTTGGTTTTTTTTTTTTTTTTTTTTTTTTTTTTTTGGCGGGGGG